GTAGTGGTCATCACCCTTTCCGGGAAGTGTTGCGTTAAGCTGGAATATCCGATGAGTAATGGAATGTAAACATTGGCTCCCCCCTTTCTTGAACTATGGTCGCTATGAGAGATGACTAACCAAGCTAACCAGTTCATCTTAGATTTTTACACTGGTAACATCTATTCGAAAATGCCTCCTCGCCGGAATTTTTCCGATGGTGAAATACAGATGATAGAATGATTTTCACAGTAGTTTGTCATGAGTGAATACCGAAGCAATATCAGTGTTGTGGCCAGGTACACATTAGCCCAGTCAATAAATGTTTTTTATCGCAACTAAATGGTGGAAAGCTAGATTTTTTATATGTGATAGAACCACATGAGAGGTGTATTTTTCAAAAAGTCCCCACTTCTACCCCTTGAGCTTTCCCCCCCACCCCCCTCCAAACATAGAAATTGCCGTGTTTTACTTAATTGGTCATAATTGGAATGCTATGTAAGCTATTAAGCAGCAATTTGTTTTGTTTTATTTCTGATTAGCTTTCCTACAACTTTAGTATTTACAACATTTTTATAAAACCAATACTTAGGGAGATATAAAATTTAAACTTAGTTAAAAGCTTTGTTTCAGAGTGCAAAATTTTGTTTTTCTCTATGTATACTTTTAAATAAAAATAATACGCAAATATAGTTCAAACAAAAGTTTTAGTACGTTTTTCAAGGTTTACAAATATACTATTGGTTAGTCATCTAGGTGACCGGGTGAAGAGCTGGGCGTCGGCAAAGAGAGCGCGTGCGGGCTAGTTGAACACTTCTGCGCTGCGTCATCGCATCTAGCCCAGCCAATAAACGCACAAACTGCCCTTTTTCGCAGCTAAATAGTGGAAAGCTGAGTTTGTTATATGTAATGGAACCACTTAAAACGTGTTTTTTTCAAAAAGTTCCCGATTTTCCCCCTTGAGCTTTTCCCCGCAACCCCTTCCAAACCTGGAAATTACAGCCGTTCACTTTACTGGATATAATTCAAATTCTACGCATGCCATCGTAGTGAAATTTGATTTGTATTATTTGTAATTAGTTTATCCTCAACTTTTGTACCAAAGGTTTTCTTATAAAACTATATTCTAAGAGAGATAGCATTTTAACTTTTTTTTATGTTTATGTTTTAGAGTACACAATTTTGTTTTACCCTCTATATATATTTTTTTAATAAAATACACAAAATGTGTCAGAAACAAAATTTTAGTATGTTTATTAAGGTTTATAAATATATGTATTTGGTTAGTCATCTGAAATAACTGATTTAGTGTGAGCGTCGGCAAAGACAGCACGTGCAGGCTTCTCAAAGCCTCCGCGGAGCCCCGCCCGTCGATGCATAAGGATCGGCACCGCTAAGTTCTCAACTGTTTCATACAAATCCTAAGACTTCCTAATTTGTAGCCTAATTTACTACCAAAACAATCTGTTTCCAAGCTAAACCGTGACTAAATGAAGCATCTCGCTGTCAGTAAAAAGTTTTCGTCGACCCACTAATCCTTGATACTAACGGCGTCCTATTATTGATATGTCCCTCACTTCACGCTTCCCACTAGGAAGGGTTAGCTTTCTGTTCTGCCATGAGTTGTAAGCCTGTGTTAAAATAATATCACGAACAACGTAGAAAACTGTCGGTGATATTTATAAGCCATTTTTTAGTCATGATAATGAATCAAATTAAAACCAGTCAATGTTAAAACTAACTTTTTTATTAAGTCTATATAGAGGAGATTTTAAAACACTTAACAAGCGCCTTCATCTTTATTAGCGATGTTAAACGTTTGCATAATGTCTACCACTAAAGAATAAAGAACTATTATGCTGACTCATTTTTATGATAACATGAAAACAGTAAAATATTAGAGAACAGAACTTCACCAAGATTATGAAAAAACCCCAATTTGATTGACACCTCTTCACAATATGTTAAGAAAGGAAATTTTAATTATTTGCCTGTATGTATCCCGTAAATAGTCTTGCCTGCATGTATGGGGACACAAATACAGTTTTTTACTTACTTATTTATAACTTTTGGATATATGCCTTATTACATTAATTAATTGGAAAGTAAATAAAAGAAAATATGTCTAATAGCCTAACACTTAAAACATAAATCTACACTTATAATGTTACTCACAATACTGTAAATACAGTATACATAAAAAGATGGAAAGTGGTGGTAGATTTCGATTCAACACTGCAATCATCCTCAGACCCATAGGCGAATTGGGTAATCATTGGGTTCAGTATGTTTCTTACCCAGCTTTATGTAATGTAATATATGTATCCATGTATTGTCAATAGGTGTAGCCGTTGACAGAAATAGTTAAATAAATTATTATTTCAAATGAGAAACGAGTTAAGACTAATAATAAATTTAAGAAATGTACAAATGATTAGGTTTAATCTAATGATTATTTTTTTTTTGCAGTTTACTGTTTAGATCTTTACTGACCGCGAGGCGCAGTTAGTATAAATCTTGCAGAACAAAGCGAGTCCCATTGGTGGTAGATAATGGAAAGCACATTGTAACGTAAGGAAGAGCAAAGAGTATGTTTATAGTGATTTTTAAAGAGTTTATTAGGCCTAGTGTTCTATACCTCAATCTATCAAGCTTCCGTTAGTCAAAGATGAAGAAATCAAATATTACAAGTATTACAAGTATAACAAGTAAGTAGGTAGAGATTAATTTACCTGAACCAAAACTGGTTATAAAAAAGAAAATTATTGGGTTCCATCTAAATAATAATTGTTTTAATAATTTGTTTTTGTAAATAAGAGAGGGACATATCAATATTGGGACACCATTTGTATCAAGGATTAGTGGGTCGACGAAAACTTTTTACTGACAGCGAGATGCTTCACTTAGTCACGGTTAAGCTTGGATACAGATTGTTTTGGTAGTAAAGTACAAAGTACAAAGCCTTAGCATTTGTATACAACCTTTGAGAACTTAGCGATGTCGGTGCCTACGACGGGTGGGGCTGGGTTGCGCAGATGCTTTGAAGAAGCCTGCACGCGCTCTCTTTGCCGACGCACCACACTATATAGTATATATATACATCAGCTCGTTCAGACGACTAACCAAAAATATATTTATAAACCGTAAGAAATATAAACAAAATTTTTGTTTGAAACATTTTGCGCATTTTATTTGGAAAAAATATATAGATGGTAAAACAAAATTGTGTACTCTAAAACATAAACATTATAAAAAAAAGAAGTTAAAATGCTTTATCTCTTTGACTAGAGTTTTATAAGAAAACCTTTAGTACAAAAGATGAGAATAAACTGATTACAAATAATACAAATCAAATTTCACTACGATGGCATGCGTAGAATTTGAATTATATCCAGTAAAGTGAACGGCTGTAATTTCCAGGTTTGGAAGGGGTTGCGGGGGAAAACCTCAAGGGGGAAAATCGGGAACTTTTTTAAAAAACACGTCTTAAGTGGTTCCATTACATATAACAAACTCAGCTTTCCACTATTTAGCTACGAAAAAGGGCAGTTTGTGCGTTTATTATTATTATTATTATTGTGCGGTGTTAGCATACATTTAATTAACAGCAGCATAAAAACTATTGTGATTCAACATTTTAAAATGCATGGAAATGTAAACATAAACCTACCATTAAGCCATAAAAATTTCAGAAAGATTGGCTCAGTGGTTTTGTTTAAAATAAAATTTTAAACTTCAGTGTTAGTGCAGAGTTTCTTAAAAACCGGTACTTTTTAGGATCTTTCAACTATAAAAATTTGTCTGGTAAACAGAATTTTTTTAAATTGTTACCACGTAAAATGTATTTAAACCAGCTTACAGGTCCGTGTTAAGGGTCAGTGGCGCCCTGGGCAAACTCAAAAGCAGCGCCCCCCCCCCCCCTTATATATATATAACTATAAAGGTTTCGACGACAGCAGGTGGGTTGGGGGTTGGGGTGAGTGCAATGAACTTGACAGTAGTTGCTATGCGAATGCCTCTTGCCCTGCGCCAATAGCTTATTGCACTACGCAGTGATTTGATTACTGTTCAGTACAGTACAGTGTGCAGTTCATTACACACGTATTGAACGAGATTCTACTAAGGGAGTATGTTTTATCCATGGTTCTACTATAGGCATATGCATATATATATATTTATACATGAGCGTGTTGTTTTACCAGTTTTGTTTCAATTCCGTATCAGTGGAAATACTGGTTAATACATTTCACTTTCTTTAAAACTGCTTCTTGAGTTTGTTTTCTTTGAGCCAACCGCTTGCGGCTCTCGGCTCCACTAGGTTTTTTATGTATTTTTCACTGTTTATAGGCCTACTGAATTGTATCAACACTTCTATTTATTTATTACTGGTTCACTAACTGCAGTGTGAGTGTCAACACTGACTAGTGACTGTCACAGTTTAAGTTGTGTTGTGACTGATTTGACTACTGTGCATCAGGCACAACACCGACACAACCTACTGACTACTGAGGGAGGAGTACTGTACTAGACTGGCGGCACTGGTGCCGCGCGGTAGTTGGTATTTATGTATATGTGACTTGTTGGGGTGGGGGTGGGACTGGGAGGGAGAGGAGGGGCACATCAACCGTAGGCCTGTAGACTACAGCTGGCCTACGTGCTATTATTCCCGTAATTTGCTGACGTCACCCAAATTGAAAACAAAAAATCAGCTGAGGTATTGCCATATAAGTATAAATTTGTTTTGATTTGATTGTTATTGTTTTTATAGTTTTCTAAATAGTAAAATGGTGTTTGCAATCTGAGTGACATCAGCATATGACGGGAAAAGCACACCTATGTATTTTCCTTCCACCATGCAGGCCTACCGCCCTGCCTCTGATAGTACAGTATAGTGAGTGCGCCCGGTTCACACTGCTGCCTGTCTTTCCCTCACTACATGAGGTATAACCTGAAGGTCGAGTATTTTCAATTTTGTTGTTCTTATTTACTTTTGTAATAAGGGAAAATGACTTAACTACAAGTTGAAATCACCCATTTTATTTTTGAAATCCTGGCTGATAAAACCTATTTTTTCCTAGTGCGGGCAGTGATTCAGGGCGCCCCCCAACCACCGGCGCCCCTGGGCATATGCCCAATCTGCCCGTTTATAAAAGTGGGCCTGAGCTTATATTTAGTTTTTGTTTCAACAAAATCGGATAATTCATCTCAGAGAATTTTAGGCTCAAACTCGAGTGCACATATTTATTTCCCCGACAGTAACTACACACTTAGCTAATTCAACTTTACACCTTTTTTAACTTTGTCTTTACTTAGTAATGGTAACACATTTATTTTTATTTTTAAAGTTATTTGTACTGATTTTAAGGTTTTTATTGTTTATTTTCAAATATACTAATTATTGTTCAATGACTTGATAAAGCTTAAATAATAAATTATGGGATAATATAACGATTTAAGGAACCTGATACTTCACAGATAGACTTGTGCGACAACAATCAAAATCAATAACCAACCAAACAATAATAAATCACAAACTGTTTTAAAATTAATCATAACAAGGCATGTTTTAGAATTTTCTCATTTTCAAGAGCGTTAATACTCATCAAAAGCTCTGTGCGACTTTTTCTGGAAAACATTTTGATTTCTACAATGCTTATTATCCTCAAGTTAGTACTAGGTCTTCTTACAAAAACAATATTTTTTTAGAAACGCATCGTTCATACATTTACTTTGTGCACCAAATGCGTTTATTCTACTGACAGTTCCGAGCAGTTTGAACTGACCAGAATGACTAACTGTCGCTTCAAATAATGCTTGACCTGGTAACGTCTCAAATAAAACTACATATTCGTCATATCCGAGTTTATGTTGATAAACTTTACTGCGAACTGTTAAAACTCGTTTCACTTGTAGTTTTGCACAAGTGGTACCATTGTCTGCTAAGTGTATTCCTTTCTCCAGTAGTTTGTTGACTTCTCCCATTACAAAGTGAACCATCGCCCTCACTGAGTGGCCCTCAGTGGATAGTGTCCGATACTCTGAACAAGTGCACCAGTGTTCTGTTACCCCAGCGGATGAGCAAGAACGATTCCATGGAACCTCATCAAACATGGAGACACACTGGGGACAAGAGTCTGTCCCGTTGTGATGTTCATTATAAGCTATCTCTTGTAGAGTCAAATGCAGATCAAAGGGTGTTGTAAGTTTATCTCTGTTATCTAGTAAGTTGGAGTACTTTTGAGGATACATTTGACGGTACCAGTCTGGCATCCACATGAAGATGAATGGCAAACGCTCCTCCAGCCAACCTACGTAAGTCTCCCTGATTTTGCCAAACCGCATTCCGTGGTCACTTAAAAATATCACAAAGGTATTGTTCAGCACTCCATTATTTGTCAAGTCCTGGAGGAATTTTAAAGTTCTAATATCGAGAGCTGAAGGAGTATTTACGTTATTGTGGCTTAAGCTGTTCATCCAAAAAAGAGCAAAGTAGGGGTTTTTGCGGAAGGTTGTAGCGAAATCAGTAGCGTACTTGTATATGTGGTCTGTGGAGAGAGTGGGCCCTAAACAGGTCTTTAAACCGTCCTTCTTTTTGATCTTTGTATTCTTTTCTGCTGCCAGCATGAATGGTCTGAGGTAGTAATCTGTAGGAGTTTTGAAAAACCCAGTTTTCTGAAAGTTGAAAGTGCCGATAGTGGGTTCGTCTTCACCATATCCAGTGATATAACCTTCTCTGGAGAAGTTCTTCCAAATGAATGGACATCCATCAACCGGTTTTTTGTTGGTGTTCATGCATGTTTCACGTACACGGGTGTAGTTCATTCCTGTTAGAATAGCCATGAGATTAGGAAAAGTATTGTCATCCATTTTATTGTAACCTTTCATTTCAACCCAGCCATTATTTCTCAAGAAGCTGACTGTTTTAGGCATGGCTCGTATGATATTGAGACGAGAGATAGAGTCTATCCCTACTATGAGCACACTCATTTTTTGTTTGTTTTGAGTAAAGTTTTTTTGAAGTTTTACTTTAACATCCTCCCTTATAGGCACTCTGGCATGCAGATTGGTGTAGATTTCTTTATTCTTCCATATCTTGGGAATTGTACATTTCACCAGGATAAATTGTTGTTCGGACGTTAAATTTACCGAGTCCTTTAGCGAGAAGCAGTCACTCATGCTGTAACATAAATGAATGCATTAAAGTGTGTCAGTATTCATTTGATAATCAATCATCAAAACTGAGGAAAAACAAAACTAGGATTTGGTTTTCATGACTAAACAAGCTCAAAGAAATAAAATATTTCAACTTAAATCTCAAAAGTTGCTATTTCCATGCAGAATTGCTTTCACAACAGAGCACAGAAAATCCAATGGAGCCTCACAAAATAACTTCTAAAGCAGATTTAAGAGCGATATTTGAGCATAATATGAAAATGTACAAAAAGCAAGTTGTATAAAAAAAAAACTACCTTCTTCACAGCGAATGTGATTCTATTTGACTTAAACCAACAGCCAAGTAAATCTTAATCTATATATTAATAGGCAAGCATGTTTCTTTAAAACCTTTTTTTCTCAGCTTGTGTGCATCGCAGGGAAAATCTACGCATACTGTTAGAAAGATATTATCCTGCAGATGTGAAGAATCTCTTTAGAAATTAAAATAGGCTCAAAAATAAGCACAAAAAATGAATTTAAAATTTAAAAAATTTAACATGGGATTTATGGGTTGCCATGCTGGTGACGAAATAACAACGAAATATAAACAAAATAAAAACAAATGGAAGAAATTACAATCACATGTTTTATTTACAACATGGGGTGAAAATAGAGAAGCCTGTACCTTTGACTTACAACTAGACATTCCATCCCTTTGTTAAAGTTTTCACCAGTTTTAATTAAATTAGTAGTAGTTGATGTGGGCCACCAACAGATTGCGCTGATCTAAATGACTAATTTATCTCAAATACACAATGATTTTTACCAAGTTAAACTTATGGAATAACTTAGTAAGAGCTATAACAACTAACTGTTATGACCCATCAACTTTGACAGCAACAAAAAATAAGATAGAAAATATAATTTTAGACACGCATACTGTGACTGGCTGACACAACTGTTTTAAATATAAAAAATTGCGACAACTGGTCCATATGGATGGAATGTCTACTTCAGTATCCAATATTCAATCCGGGTACAATACATATTTTTGGTAAAGTTTTCGACCACTAGTTCTATTTAATACTCGGACATTTTTCTGTTATAGAAAGATTTTAAACCTAAATCAAGCCAAAAAGACTCCCGCTAAGAGAAAATTTACATATAACTTCTCTTTATTTTAATTTGTTGACTTTAAGAAAGTTTGAAATTGGCTGTCCTTAGCATTTTTCAAGTATGCAAAGCTAGCTGGTTACCTATAAACATCGTCGACATTGTTGTTAAGGACGTTGCTGTCTCTGCGGGTGATCTCTTGGTAGCAGCAGTGTACGTTCTTGTCACTGGTGTAGAGACGGAGATGTTGTCTGAGCAAGGTGAGAGTTCCCCCGACCAGACGAGACAACAGTGGCACGGCGGAGCACACCAGGGAGTCTGTGCGGTGGATCAGCCCCCGGATACTCTCATGCCAGGGGTCGATATCCGGTATCCTACAGCTGGGGCTCCACACCAGGTATCCTTCCCGGGGTGCATGAGTCAGGTTGTCTGAGGGGTCGAGGTAGTCTGTGACAGTAGTAAACGGTTTTATTGGACTTTAAGTTGTGAGATTTATTTTCTACTAACAGCTATACACATGCTTTGCAATTATGGGGAGGGTAGGGCCACAGAAGGGAAAAGTTTGGTTCTTAATGTTTGGTATGAAATAGTTAAAACATCTTTAATCAATTTTAGAAACAAAATTTTTGCACCACTTTCAAAGTTTAAACAAATAAAAAATTACAAATTCTTTTATTTGGTGTGTGTTTAAAATGTGACAAAATTTGTCACATTTTAAAGAAAAAAATGTTTAATCTATATATTAATACGCAAGCAGTTTTCTTTTCACAGTCATAACTCAATAACGGCTTGATGGATTTTAAAGTTTGAGGTGTCAAATTAAAGGTATTTTCACTTAGATGTGCAAATACGTCTCAGAATATTAAGAAAGGGCACCAGTTAAGTCACTTAAGGGCTAAAGTTTGGAAGGCGGCGCTATCTGTTGACATTTGATCAAACTCATTCCCCTTTGTTTACAAAAAACATATAGACATAGTTTGAAATAGTTTTTAAGGTTTACCACAGACTGCAGAACATAAAACTTCCAGAACAAAGCCGGAATATATATTTTCATTTAAACATTTGTTAAATAAGTCTGGTTCATAAAGTAGTTTCCTAGCAAAACTTGATAAAAAATTCTTCGTAAAATTTGAATTCATTTAACTTTCTTCTTATTTTACTGCATTAATGTAGTTTCAGTTACAGTTCGGTGTGATGAATAAGTGAATGTTTGAAAGTGATTATTCACAGTGCAGTTACTCACCCGTTGCATTACCGTATTACGTAATTTACAATGTAGGTATATCAAAATTCCGTTGTAGAAATGGTGAAAATGTATTAGGCACTATTAAGTAGTAGCCTACTATAAGAGATATGAAACTGTGTGATTAAATTTTGAAAATTTGGGCTTACTTAAAAGAGTATTTACTTAAATACCCCCACCGCAGCAAACCTGCAGACTAAGCAAATTTCCATTTGCCTGATTGTATTTACACTAAAACGTCTCCTTAAAAATATCACATCTATTCCCTATTTAAATAACATTAGTTTAACGAGTACTTAGGTTTGCTGCAACAATGGAGGGTAAAATGGTGTTTTTTTTTGTAAAATGTTATAGTTTAGTGTGAAATGAATGCATTTTCCAAATTTGATCAAAATATGTTCATAAACAAGCAAACTACAACAGTTTACTTATTCTCCATAAGAATAACAAAGGAATTTTAAATTTACAGATTTTTGGAATTTTCTCTGTACCTAACCATTAGGCGCATAATAACGCCTCAACATACTAAATTATTAGTTTTTTTAAGCTCTACAAAATGGTTAAGAAAGAAATTGCTAAATTTTACGTTTTTAGGGTCAAAAATGGGAAAAACCAATTTTTACCCCATAAAACCCCCCATAAACCCCTGTCCCCATAGTCCGATCATGCTGGTTCGCGAACTCGTTCAAATAAACGTAGGTTTACACGTTTGTATCAAATTTCATCAAAATCGGATGATTTTTGCTCGAGTTATCGTGTTGAATTTGAACGGATGATGTTTTTGGTCTCTAGGGACCTCAAAACGAAAAAGTAAATCGGTCCCGGGTCCAGGTCTTACCATGAGTACTACCGTAATAGCTTATTCCCTTTTTGGTTTCGATGTGAATCCTTCCCAGTGGGGTATGAGTTTTTTGATAAACCTTTTCATAAGGACACGAACCTCAATAAAAGAGTTGTGTTTACTCACATTGAAAAAAATATTGAAGGTCATTAGAGCATCAGCTGTTGAATTTGTTTTGATTTATAGTTTGTTTGAAGATTTTTTACTCTATATGTAAAAAAAACTCATGTTAATAAGTACAAATTGATATGTAAAAATTAGTCTGTTATGTATTTATTAAATCACATTAAAAATTCAATGTTCTGGATAACTCAACAACCTCTGGGTCTACAAATTGTTTACCATGAATTGGGAGAAAATAAAATATTGGTGATTTTTCTAAAGGGAATAGTTGGATGTATTAAAATAAATTTCAACAGTTTTTTTTTCAAGTAATAGTACAGTGTTATTAGAACTATTATATAAACATTTGTATTGATTTAAAGAAAATTACTCTTATACCTACATTTTACATAGCTATATGGATCACCTGTCGCCAATTCTTTACTAATAAAGAATGTAGTTGTGTGAGCCAGTCACAGATTGCACTAGTGTCTAAAACTCTATTGTGTACCTTATTTTTCGTTACTGACATAGTTGCTGGGTCACAACAGTTGCTATAGCTCAAAATCAGTCATTCCATCGGTTTGACTTGGTAAAAACCATCATGTTATCGGCAGAAATCAGTAATTTAGATCAGCGCAATCTGTAGGTGGTTCACATAAACTAAGACAAATTTTATTAAAAACCTGGCTACAGCTTAAACATGGGGATGGAATGTCTAGTTGTTGTATTAATAGTCAAAGATAGCACATAAGTACATACGAGGCTATGTTCTAAGTTTCTAAGGGGCTAAGTTTCTCAGTTCTTTAACTTGTTTGCTACCGCAATAGCACTAAATTCTTCATTCACATGGACCTGTGAAGCACATATGCGACGGCCGTTTTCTACCCACATAGACTGGTAACATTAAAATAGACTGATGTTGCATATTTGCATCGGTGTCACAATGTTATTAAAAAGCTGATATCTTCATAACGGTCTATTTGGAGGCCCTGAATTCTCTGCAGTGGTCTACAGGGATGTTAGTCGCATACCGTATGTGCGTCACTTGGTCTGTGAATATGATGATTAGTGACGTCATGATGGTTAGCAAATTTGTTTTTTACTTTACTGCATCACTGGCCCATGGTCTGCGTGTACTGTTAACCAAGTGACACCCGGTCTATGTGTAATATTAAAATGTATACCTCGGTCTGTGGAAATGACCACAGTGCCTCAAATATATGGTGATTGGTAGCGAACGTGTTAAGCAATTTCATCAGTTTAAGTCCAACCGTGATGGTGGTAAATGAACTAACCACTAGGTCGACTGGTGAACAATTGCATGGATATTATAAAAAAATTAGTTATTTTTAGTGCTCGATTTGTACAAAATGAGGTGCTGGAACTGTTACCTATTTAATGAGATTAGTACCTATTTATAGTGGTGCCAAATAATATATGTCACAAACAAATTTACAAACTTTTATTTAAGGTAAAAACTGAAATATAAACAACAAACAATAATCATGACATGTGTTAGCAAATTAAATAAAAAATATTAAACCAGGTGTTACTGTAACTACACCTTTCCTTATAAATTTTTTAAAACGTTTTTATTAGCTCGCTTTCTTGTCCGGTACAAATTTTGCAATCAATTTTATACTAACTTCCCGATGAGCTAGAGACTTAAAACTTGAAACATAGCTCACAAATGGAAGACAATGCAATATTATATCATTTAATTTTCATATTTCCCTTGAGCTACGCCCCATGGGCTTGATTTTATTAACTCGCTTTACTTGCAAATGTTTTGATACTTCGCGATGAGCTAGAGACTTGAAACTTGAAACATAGCTCACAAATGGATGACAATGCAATATTATATCATTTAATTTTCATATTTCCCTTGAGCTACGCCCCATGGGCTTGTTTTTATTAGGTCGCTTTCCTACAAATTTTGATATCAATTTTGAACGAAGTTCCCGATGAGCTAGAGACTTGAAACTTGAAACATAGCTCACAAATGGATGACAATGCAATATTATATCATTTAATTTTCATATTTCCCTTGGAATACGCCCCATGGGCTTGTCTTTATTAGGTCGCTTTCCTACAAATTTTGATATCAATTTTAAACGAAGTTCCCGATGAGCCAGAGACTTGAAACTTGAAACATAGCTCACAAATGGATGACAATGCAATATTATATCATTTAATTTTCATATATCAATATATTTTATAAATATATTGATAATAATACATTAGTTCAATAGGTGAAGGTAATTGTAAATTATCTATTGCATGCACCCCACGTTTTTCGTTTTAAATCTTACAAGTATTTATACTCTCCACATATTTATAACTTATTTTCTACTTATTAGTGCGTTTGAAAACGTTTTGTTTTAAAAAAGTTTTTTTATTTATAAATTATTTTTCATTTATTTTCCCTGTTCACGTGTTTGGAATCTATTGTTAGTGGAAACTAAAAAGACTCTATTTCTTCTATACAATATTACCAATCGATGTTGACTATATAATCTCTACTGTTGGAATTTGTTCCAACCACTAGTCCATATCGCTTCAGGTTAAACAACCACACTTTTTCCCCCACAACCAAAACTTGTAGCTCTCTTACACGGTGTCTTGTGACGTAGTTTCGCTTCTGATTTTCTTTTTCTGAGGTGTCCATTGTCTTAGTATTTTTAATGTCTGGCTACTTCGGCTCCAATGTTTTTCTGAAGTAGGAACAGTGTTTCTTATTTTCTTACCAAAAAGAAGATCAGCTGGACTGTAACCGCAGCTTAGTGTAGTAGAACGATATGCTAATAAGCCCTCATAAGGATCTTGATTTTTCTTCAGAATGTTTTTAGCGATTTGAACGGGGTAGCGGATTTTTATCCCCCTGGAATTTTACACCCTGGGCAAACGTGACGTCACAAACCTTACTTACTGCCGTGGCTCTTGGTACCCAAGGAGGTACTTTGCCTCGCCAACACACTGCCTCCAGACTGCACGATCCACTGCTTCATCCTCCCTTCTTCCCATTCTTCTCAGGTCTCTTCTCACTTGATCTCTCCACCTCAACTTGGGCCTTCCAGGAGGTCTTCTACCCTCGGGATTGTTGTTTAGGGCGTTTCTCACTAAGGATCCCTCTTCCTTTCTTAACACATGGCCTGCCCATCTCAATCTCCTACTTCTCACCTCAGCCACAATATCTGGGTCCCTGTACAACTCTCTCAACTCCCTGTTGTGCTTAACTCTCCATTCTCCGTTTTCAAA